GAAGGAATAGACGGAGAGATAGATTAGCATAGATAAGAGAGGGAGAGATAGAGAGAAGATAGCGAGAAGAGAGAATGAGGTTGGTGATAGAGGTCTGTGGGATGAGGGGGGAGAGTATTGAGGTTGGTGAGGCATAGAGGAAGGAGATAGATGGACTGGAGAGATAGATAGATAGATAGATTAGATAGACTAGATAGATAGATAGACTAGAAGAGAGTGAGAGACGAGGAGAGCGAGAGAGGAGAATGCGAGGTTCGGCTCGATGAAGAGTCCCTGTGGGATGAGGGGGGGAGAGTGAGGTTTGGTGAGGCAGAGGGGAAGGAGAATGATAGATGGAGAGAATAGAATAGATAGAGAGAGAGAGCGCAGAGAGAGGGAGAGAGAGAATGAGGTTTGGTGATGAGGTCCTCGTGGGATGAGGGGGGAGAGTGAGGTTGGTGAGGCAGAGGGAAGGAGATAGATAGATGGAGAGATAGATAGAGGCTAGAAGAGAGAGAGCGAGAGAGCAGGAGAGAGGAGAAATGAGGTTTGGTGATGAGGTCCTGTGGGAATGAAGGCGGGGGAAGAGTGAGGTTGGTGAGCACGAGGGAACAGGGATAGACGCGCGGAGAGATTAGATAGTAGAATAGAGAGGGAGAGAGAGAGAGAGCGAGAGAGAGAATGAGGTTGGTGATGAGGTCCTGTGGGATGAGGGGGGGAGAGTCGAGGTGGTGACGAGCAGAGGGAGGGAGATAGATGGATGGAGAGAATAGACTAAGATGCCTAGATAGATAGAAGATAGATAGATGATAAGAGAGAGAGAGAGAGAGGAGCGAGAGAGAGAATGAAGGGTTGGTGATGATGTTCCTGTGGCGATGAGGCGGGGGGAGAGTGAGGGTTGGTGAGGGAGAGGAAGGAGATAGATAGATGGATAGATAGATAGATATGATAGAGAGAGAGAGAGAGAGCGAGAGAGAGAATGAGGTTGGTGATGAGGTTCCTGTCGGGATGAGGGGGGAGAGTGAGGTTGGTTTGAGGGACCAGAGGAAAGGAGAATAGATAGATGGAGAGATAGATAAGATAGAGAGAGAGAGCGAGAGAGAGGAGAGAGAGAGAAATGAGGTTGGTGATGAGGTCCTGTGGGATGAGGGGCGGAGAGCTGAGGTTGGTGAAGGCAGAGGGAAGGCAAGATAGATGGATGAGAGAATAGATAGATAGATAGATAGATAGCAATAGATCAGACTAGATAGATAGAGAGAGAGAGAGAGAGCAGAAGCGAGAGAGAGAATGAGGTTGGTTGATGGAGCGTCCTGTGGGATGAGGCGGGGGAGAGTGACGTTTGGTGAGGGAGAGGGAAGCGAGATAATGATGCCAGATGGATAGATAGATAGATTAGATAGAGAGAGAGAGAGAGAGCGAGATGAGAAGAATGAGGTTGGTGATGAGGTCCTGTGGGATGAGGCGGGCGGAGAGTGGAGGTTGGTGAGGCAGAGGAAAGGAGATTAGATAGATGGAGAAGATAGATAGAAGAGAGAGAGAGCGAGAGAGAGAGGGAGAGGAAGAGAATGAGGTTTGGTGATGCCGGTCCTGTGGGAATGAGGGCGGGGAGAGTGAGGTTGGCTGAGGAGAAGAAGGAAGGAGTAGATGGATGGAGAGATAGATAGATAGATAGATAGCATAGATAGATCGAATAGATAGATAGAGACGAGAGGAGAGAGAGAGAGCGAAGCAGGAGAGAAAATGAGGTTGGTGATGAGGCTCCTGCGTGGGCATGAGGCGGAGGGAGAAAAGTGAGGGTTGGTGAGGGGAGAGGGAAGGAGAATAGATAGATGGATAGATTAGCATAGAATACGATAGAGAGAAGAGAGAGAGAAGCGAGAAGAGAGGAATCGAGGTTGTGATCGAGGTCCTGTGGGAGAGGGGAGGGAGAGTGAGGTTGGTGAGGCAGAGGGAAGGAGATAGATAGATGGAGAGATAGATAGGATAGGAGAGATAGCGAAGAGAGAGAAGAGAGAGAATGAGGTTGGTGATGCCTGTGGGATGAGGGGGGAGAGTGAGGTGTAGGCGAGAGGGAAGGGTAATAGAGATGATAGGATAGATAGATAGATAGAGAGAGAGCAGAGAGGAAAAAGAGAGAATAAGGTTGGTGAGGCAGAGGAGGAGATAGATAGATGGATAGATAGATAGAGAGAGAGAGAGCGAAGAGAGACGAATGAGGTTGGTGAGGGAGAAGGGAAGAATAGATAGATGGATAGATAGATAGATAGATAGAGAGAGCGAGAGAGCGAGAGAGAGAGTGGGTTGTGAGGTGAGAGGGAGAGGAGATAGATAGATGGATAGAATAGATAGATAGATAGAGAGCGAGAGCGAGAGAGAGAGTTAGGTTGGTGAGGTAGAGGGAAGGGGATAAATAGATAGTAGATAGATAGATAGAGAGAGAATGAGGTTGGTGAGGGAGAGAGAAGGAGATAGATGAATAGATAGATAGGTAGAGAGAGAGAGAGTGAGGTTGGTGAGGGAGGGAGAAAGCGATAAATTGATAGAGAAAAGAGGAGAGAAATGACGTTGGTGAGGGAGGAGAGAGATATAGATAGATAAATAGAATAGACAGATCAAAGATCGAGAGAACGAGATCGAGAGCGAGAGAAGAGAGAGAGAGAGAGAGAGAGAGAAGAGAGAAGAGAGAGAAGAGAGAGAGAGAGAGAGAGGAGAGAGAGAGAAGAGAGAGAGAGAGAGAGAGAGAGAGAGAGAGAGAGAGAGAGAGAGAGAGAGAGAGAGAGAGAGAGAGAGAGAGAGGAGAGAGAGAGAGAGAGAGAAGAGAGAGAGAGGAGACGAGATAAATAGTGGAGAGAGAGAGAATGAGATTGTTAAAGGAGAAAGAGTGAGGTGGGTGAGGGTGAGACCCACGCACACACACACACACACATATGTATACATATATATCATTTTGCTTTTTTGTACGTATATGTATGTTATGTATGCCTGTACTTAGATAGATGGATAGAGAACAAGAAAAGGAGAAAAAAGAACGGAAAAGACGAAGAAGAAAAAGAAGAAGAAAAAAAAACAGAATGCTCTCAGACACAAACATAAAGAGAGACAGAGACAGACCGAATGATAAAGAGCAAAGAAATGAAAGGTAAAGAGGATTAACAAGAGGAAGAGAAATTCACTTGACAAATATTAATGATCTGATTAATTCACATGAAGAGTCTCCACGTGCCTTTAAGAGGATATAAAACAACATGCTATGATATGCACAGATTTTTTAATCCCTGTCGCCCCCAACCCCCCTAAAATTGTATGTGCGTGCGTGTGTGTTTGCGTCTTGCGTGTTGTGTGTTGTGTGGTGTGTGTGTGTGTGTGTGTTGCGTCGTTGTTTTTCGTGTGTGTGTGTGTGTGTGTGTGTGCGTGCGTGTGTTGTGTGTTGTGTGTGCTGTTGTGTCTGGGTGTGTGTGGTGTGCGTCGTTGCGTGTGTGGTGGTGTTAGTCGTGTGTGGTTTGTGTGGTTGTGTGTTTGCGTCGTGCGTGTGTTGTGTTGTGTGTGGTGTGTGTTTGTGCGTGCGTGTGTGATTATTGAGTATGTTGTGTGTGTTGCACGTGTTTTGTTGTGGCCGTTGTGTGTGTGTGTGTGTTTGCGTGCATGCGTGTTTATGTGGCGTGGTGTGGCCGGTGTTGTGTGTGTGTGTGGTTGTGTGGTTTGCGTGTTTGTGTGGCCGTGCGTGCGTGTATGTGTGTGTTTGTGCTTGTTATGTAATGTGTTTTGGTTGTATGTGCTATATCTTCTTTATCAACATGACTAACCGGGCGCTACAGATAAGTTCTTTACTCGAAGTTTATTCTACCTCCCGGTGTTTCTTTTCTTTATCCAAATTATTTGAAGACGTAATGAGGGAATAGAGTTCTTGCTTGTGCTCGCTGAAAACCAAGAAAAATACTCAGTAAAATGAAGGAAAGAAAATCACCTTGAAACCTTTAAGTGGAAATAGATGTGAAAATGAGCCGGCGTTCTAAGCGGGGTGCCACAGGAGGAAAGAGAAAGTTAATATATTATGCTATCCCTCATCCTTAACACCTTACATCCCCCCCTCTCTTTCTCCTCTCTTTCTCTTTTCTCTTTTCCCTCTCTTTCGCTTCTTTCTCTTTCTTTCTTCTCTCTCTCTCTTTCTCTCGCTCTCTCTTTTCTATGTCTTTCCTCTCTCTCTCTTTCTCTCTCTCTCTCTCTCTCTCTCTCTCTCTCTCTTCGTCTCTCTCCCACACACACACCACACACACACAAACACACACGCGCGCACACACACACACGCATACAAAACAGACACAATACAACCTCATTTTTAGTTTCCCGAAAAGTCTTGGCAACTTCAACCGAAACGACTTAAAAGGAAATTAAAAACCTTTAATGTTATCAGTAACCATAACTCCCAAAGGGAACTGAGAAAGAGGAAGTTTGGTAATATTTCTCAACAAAACTTTACGGTTATTGTCTTAAGAAAAGAAGACGAAACGAAACAGGGGCATAGATTAACTGCAAATTCTGATTATCATGTGTCATTCTCAGTGACACAAATCGTTGTTTCTTTGCTGAGCAGCTTGGGATTAGTATATCTATAAATCTGTTCTTGATAACGATGATATCGATGATGATGATGATGATGATAATGATGATAATATTCGTAGTAACAGTGATAATAATAATGATAATGATAATTATCATTATCATAGTTACCATTATGTTAATGATAATAATAGTGACAATGATAATGATATTGTCAATAATGATAACGATAATACATAATACATGTAGGTAATGACTGATGATAATGATAGTAGAAGTAATAATAATTATAATAATAATGATAATAACACGAAAATGATGATGAAATGATATCTATGATAATGGTAATAATGATAATAACAATTATAATTATAATAGTAATAAGATGATATTCATGATAATAATAACAATAGAAAATAATAATTATGATGATAATAATAGGGATTATAATGAAAAAGATTTTG